TATGCCGGAGATTCAGATCCTTCTGTGTCAACAAGTACTGAAGGCTCTTATGGTCGGTGAAGATACATGTTGTCTCGCCGTAGAGGTAATGCCTCCAGATTTTCAAGGCGAGTACAATAGCTGCTAGCTCAAGGTCGTTCGTCGGATAGTTACACTCATGCGGCTTCAACTGCCGAGATGCATAAGCAACGACCTTGCCCTCCTGCATGAGAACACATCCCAAGCCGTTATGGGACGCGTCGTTGAATACTGTATACTCCACTCCTGGAGTGGGCTGGACTAGCACTGGTGCCTGGGTCAGACACTCCTTCAGCTGCTCGAAACTCTCCTGACAGGCGTCAGTCCAAGCGAACTTGACGTCCTTCCTCATCATCTTGTGCAATGGTGATGCTATCTTGGAGAAGCCCTTCACGAACCAGCGATAGTAGCCTGCCAATCCGAGAAAACTCCTCACCTCTTGTACATTACGCGGAGTCTTCCACTCCATGATCGCTTCTATCATACACGGGTCTACCTTCACACCTTCGGTCGTGATGACATGGCCGAGGAAGGTAACCTCGTGCAACCAGAACTCGCACTTGGATAGCTTGGCATAAAGCTGTTGTTCCCAAAGAATGCTCAAAACAATACGTAGTCGCTCGGCGTGCTCCTCTTGTGTCTTGGAGTACACCAAGATGTCATCGATGAAAACCACAACAAACTGATCAAGATGCTTACGGAACAAACTGTTCATTAGATCCATGCGATAAGGTGTGATTGAGATCGGTTCAAGTCCTTATCCAGCAATTCCTGCAGTTGAGCCTTTAGCTCTTTCATTTCCGCAGGTGCCATGCGATAAGGTGTGATTGAGATCGGTCCTGTTCCTGGAACTAAATCAATGGAAAACTCTACCTCCCTAGGGGGTGGTAAGCCGGGTAAGTCATCTGGAAATACATCAGGAAAGTCACATACCGTAGGGATGTCTTCCCTACGAGGTGCCTCCTAACGAGTGTCACGCACTGTGCACACGAACGCTTCGCACTTCTTGTGAATGAGTCGGCGAGCATGAATGTATGAGATGAATTCCGGAGCTTTCGGAAGAAGCTCGCCACGGATCAGAATGTCGCTACCATCTTTGGCTCTCAGTCGAACAGTATGTGCTCCACAATCAACAATGACTTGGTTGGCAATGAGCCAATCCATTCCTAGAATAACGTCAAACTCACGATGTGCGAGCTCAATGAGACTTGCAGGGAAGGTTTTTCCCTGGACCACTAATGGACAGTCGTGATACAAATGGGTGAGTTGTAGACTATGTCCCAATGGGTTGGACACGATTACCAGATCATCCAAGTCTTCCCTTGGAATGTTAGGCACAACAGGCATAAGCATACAAACATATGATAAAGTAGAATCCGGATCAATTAATGTTGTGATGGATGTATCGAATAAGGTAAACATACCCATGATGACGTCATGAGCTGGCTGCTCAGTACGCCCTCGCATCACGTAAGTACGGGCCGGGGCCTTCCCCGCTTGGCCTCCAGATGCTTGCAACTTGGGCTGGCTGGATGCTGCCACATACTTCTGACTCTGGGCAGGCTGCGCTGCTGGAGCTGAGGCAGCTGGTGCAGATGAGGTCGCCACGCTGCTCCTGTGGAACCCTCAGGTTTCCCAACACTCGGATGGTTCGCTCAAACCATCGCTTGGCAATCATGGGGTCGGCGATCTGGTCGCCTAGGAATTCCTCGCTCCATTCTTCCGGAGCTTCTCAATGGTGATGACAACCACTGGTGGTGGCGGTGGTGGAACATACGCGCCAGCCATCTGCTGGAGGAAGTTCATGAAGTTAGCCGCGAACTGCGGTTGGTTGATGGGGACGCCTTCTGGAACAGGGCCCGCGCCCGGGACTACCTTCCTTGGGGCCTGCTGGGGTGTGAAGCTTGACGCTTCCGTGTGCACGCTCACGTGCTCAAGCTCCCCATGTGGGACAGCCTATCCATCGTTGCCTGCTGCTTGGCTCATTCTCTAAAGGAATAGATTTAATCAGAACTAATTACAATGTGACACATAAATGAATAAAATAACGGTGTACCTTTCCCTAGGAGTGATGTGATGGGGGATGCGGCTATGGACCTTTGAAAATACCCTTTGACTACGAGGACAAAATATGTTTTTTTTCACAAAATCCGAACTACTCTGATACCAAATTGTAACACCCGCCTTCCGTGGACCCGGTTCTCTCGCGACCCAACAGACTGGTAGGGTTACATGGGCGGTCCGAGAACCATTCGTCGCGACAAATATTAATGCTTACTTATTATGAAAACGGTTGTGTTTAATTAGTGAAATAAATGCTAGGAAGTTAATCCCCAAAACGTATGTGATATAAATGAAGAGTAAGAGTAAAAGCGGAAGTAAATAAATACGTCCAGTCCAAAATAAGTAAACGACATAGGGTGGGTTCATGCCCAACTGATTAATTAATTAAATGTATTTAAATATTGAACTCGTCCGTGCGCCGCCCATTCTCCCATCATCACTGTCCTCTAGGGTTAGCACCTGTACCATCATGTCTACCTGCGTGTAGCAAAAACAACTACACGCTAAGCAAAAGCTGAGAATTGAATCTAATAAAAGAACATAAAGTGATAACCCATATGGTTATACACATATTGATACCTGTACTGAACGTATGAAAAACCACATGTGTAATAACTGTTCAATTTGCACTTGATGGGGTACTAATACACATAACGAAATGACATATCTAACCACAATAAATGTTGATGTGATATGGAACATACATGATGATGATATGGCTTGATGCATGACTTAAACTATCAGGGACACCCCTGGCTTAGTCTCACTTGACAGGATCACCCCTGCACTCCGGCTATCATACACAAATGGTAATGAGCCGGGCTCGACGAAAGTGTCGCAAGTGGACTAGTAAAACCGGGTGGTAGGCGTAACCTGACTACCATGTACGTACACAAAGCCCACATGATGAAAACCCGTTGGATCCCAAAGGTTCCTGAACGGGCCCACTGTAGTAGGCGCACGAAAGCCTGACCTCCCTACTGCGGTATGCACATAATGGTAAACCTAGGAATGCGACTAGGACGAACATGATGAATGCTTGATATATTTAGGGGTGTACACCAGTCCAGAACCGGACCGGACTAGAACCGAAAAAACTGGAAACCCAGAATCCCCTAAAGCATAGGACCGGAAACCGGACCGGTTAGATTCCGGTCTCGACCGGTCCGGACTGGTTTTTTCCGGTCCGGTGTGGGTAAAAACCGGAAAACCCGGAATTTATTTTTTTCTATTTCTTTTTGTCTATTTTTTAAACTTGTTTTTCAAATTTGTAGCTTGATTTGAATTGATTTCAACCCTACATATAATTCTTATATAAATTGGGTGTGTTTCAAGAAATTATATTAATATAAAATATTTTTATCAACAATATAATAGGTGTAAAATGAATTTTATACTTCCGTTAGTTTTGAAATTTCTAAAATATTATAAAGTTTTACTTTAAATTACTTTGGTTTTAGCAAGTCTAATTTATACGTCAAAGTATTTAATACTTTAAATTGAAAAATTCTACTTCAATTTTTGGGAAATAATTTTAGTTTTTTATAATTATGGATATTCTTGGGTAAATGTCAATGAAATGAATTAAAAAATACAAATTACATTTAAAAAGTTATACTTTATATTAAAGTAAGAAGAACAAATGAAAATATACAATTGTATTTATAATTATACGTAAACTCCGTATCATAGGTATTACTCCCTCTGTCCCATTTTAAATTGCCTGTTTGCCTTTTTTCTCCGTCCCAAAATAAGTTGCTTGTTAGTTGTTTTCGTAAACTTTTAAAAATAAAATAACTAAACTACCCCAAAAATAAGTCAGACCTCTTCACCTTATCTTCTCATTCATCATCACCCCTCCTAAAAAGTAATGTCAATTTCAGAAAATCAACTCTAGTTTTTATTTTCCTTAAATATGCCCAAAACTCAAAACAGGCGATTTAAATTGGGATGGAGGGAGTAATTTGTTTAAAAAACAGACAATCCGGTCTTACCGGTCCGACCCGGAAACGATCTGGTCTTGGACCAGAATGGACCGGAATTTTACCGGTCCAAAATCTTTAGACCGGAGACCGGTTTTTCTGGTCCGGTCCGGTTTTCCGGTCTGACCCGGATTTTGTACACCCCTAGATATATTTACCTTTGGTCAAGCCAAGAATATATCAATAAAATAACATACATAATGTAGATTAACATTTCACGCAAACATGCAATCAGATTCTAGGTCAATATGGTCAACAGGACTCATTCTACAAACTGCCCAAAAATCTGCCCAAGGAACGGTCGACCGTACCCTACCGGCGGTCGACCATGGGCTACGGTCTAGGTTTGGGACACAAACGGTCCACCTAGGTCTTTCGTCGCGGCTGACGGTCGACTGCCACGGTGATGACCGTCGGAATGGCTGAGGGTACGGTCCACCGTCCAAAGCGACGGTCGAACTTCCCGGTGACAGTCTTCTGTCCTTGGCTACGTTTTGATCCGTTTTGAAAGTTTAATGCCTTAATTCTTCTCAGGACAATAATACTAACATTGGTGAATATGTTCCTAGTAATTCCTAGGCCAAAATATATATGTTTTACGTAGTGAACGTTTTGAGGGCTAACCTACGAACATGCATATATAGATTCTACGTAGGTTGCGTATGATATTCCTATGAATATAGCGACATGAATTATAACTAAATGTTCTAGAATTAGAAGTGACAACTACTCACCTCTAAACGAAGGGATTGACGGAACGATAGGACGAGATGAACGAACGGTTAGCTACGAACCAACGAACAGACGAACGGCGGACAACGTACGGCTCCTCGTGTGAACTTCTCTTATTTTACCTTCCCGTCTACTCGCTGGAAAACCTCCTAGAGCTGCTATGGCCTGGCCGAGATTGTGCAAGGGAAGAGGGAGAGGAGAGAATGTGATGAGTGTAAGAGATGGGGATTACAAATGATGAAGAACATGAATGGGGGAGGGGGTTTTATTAAAGGGAATTAAATGGCTGAAATGGTGAATTGATTGGAGGGATGAGGGTATGTAGTGGCGTGAGAATGGAGGTGGAATTATGTGGGGAGTCATTCCATTAATCTTACTCCGTTGTATAAAAATCGGACCTGAACGGTACGCGTTTCCCCCCGAACGTGTCCAAATTGAGATCCGTTTGCGTTTATGGAATCAGACAGTCAAAACGAATCTAATGACATGTTCAAATAATTTTTATAAGAACTTTTATTTTTCCCAACTCCGGTCCGGAACAGTAATCAATTATTTAAAATCATCAATTTTATTAGACCGGGTTGCATGGTGTTACAGCAGGAATTAAAAATTTAAAGGGAGAGTAAAGTAAAGAGTAAGAGGCACACCGATTTTACAATGGTTCACCACAACGTGTGGCTAATCCAGCCTCCCAAGAGACTCTCTCGAGCTACACTACTTCCTCGTTAAGCTTATCGTTGCTTAACAAACCCTTACAACTTAAGAATTCGAGTTACACGAACCTCAACAAGTTCTTCGAAGGAAACAGCCTTTCCTTCGAATCAAACGAGAGAAATACTTTCTCTCAACGTGTCTTAGAACATTAATACACTCAAGAACAAGACTCTCTTTAAGAGTAGATGTTGAGTAAATTATATACGCTCAAGAACAACTCAAGACTTCACACAATTTAGCTCTAGAAAGATATGGAAAATGATGTTGTATGATTGAAATGATAATATGTGTAATGTGAAGTGAATTGATGTGTAATGCAGACCCAAACACCCATTTTTATAGTGTCGAAGTAGGCTCTAACTGATCAAAAAACTTAAGGGGTGATTGGCATGATTTGTGGGATTGATATTAAAATGTGGATCTGCAGGAGATTAGCTTACCCAGCGATATATGGCAGTACCCATGTAACACCCGCATTCCGTGGACCCGGTTCACTCGCGACCCAATGGACCGGTAGGGTTACATGGGCGGTCCGAGAACCGTCCGTAGTGGAAAAAATTAATGCTCATTTATTATGAAAACGGTTGTGTTTAATTGGTGAAATAAATGCTAGGGAGTTATCCCCAAAACGTGTGTGTTATAAATGCAGCGTAAAGTGGAAGTAAATAAATAAGTCCAAAACAAGTAAAACAAAAAATGGTGGGTTCTTGCCCAAATGAATAATTGATTAAATATATATAAATATTGAACTCATCCGTGCGCCGCCCATCCTCCCATCATCACTGTCCTCCAGGGTTAGCACCTCTGCCGTCATGACTACATGCAAGTAGCAAAAAGAACTACACGCTAAGCAAAAGCTCAGGAGTGAATCTAACAAAAGAACATGAAGTGATAACTCATATGATTATACACATATTAATACCTGTACTTAACGTACGGAAAACCACATGTTTACTAACTGTTTAGTTTGCACCTGTTCAGGGTACTATTACATATAACAAAATGATGTGCTACCACATTGAATGTTGATGTGAAGTGGAACATACATGATGATGATACGACTTGATGCATGACCTAAACTATCAGGGACACCCCTGGCTTAGCCTCACTTGACAGGATCACCCCTGCACTCCGGTTGTCACACCGAAACGGTAATGAGCCGGGAACAAGTGGACTAGCAAAACCGGGTAGTAGCCGTAACCTCACTACCATGTACGTACACAAGGTCCACCTGATGAAAACCCATTGGATCCCGAAGGTTCCTGTACGGGACCACTGTAGTAGGCGCACGAAAGCATGACCTCCCTACAGCGGTTTGCACATGATGAAAAACCTAAGACATGCGTCTAGGATGAACATGATGAATGCTTGGCATATTTACCTTTGGTCAACGCCATGAATATATCAATTAAATAACATTTATAATGAAGATTAACATTTCATGCAAACAGACAAACAAATTCTGGGTCAATATGGTCAACGGTGCTTGTTCTACAAATTGCCCAGAGTTCTGCCCGAAGAACGGTCGACCGTACCCTAACGGCGGTCGACCGTGGGCCACGGTCTGGGTCTGGTTCACAAATGGTCCACCTAGGTCTTCCGTAACGGCTGACGGTCGACCGTCCCGGTGGTGACCGTCGGACTGGCCGAGGGTACGGTCGACCGTCCTGGTGGTGACCGTCCCGGTGACAGTCTTTTGTCCTTGGCTACGTTTTGATCCATTTTTCAAACTTAACACCTTGATTCTTTTTAGAACAATAATGTAAACATTGATGATTATATTCCTAGTGATTCCTAGGCCAATCTATGTAAGTTTTACGTAGTGAACGTTTTGATGGTTAACCTACGAACATGCATAGATTCTAAGTAGGTTACGTACGATATTCCTATGAATATAACAACATAGATTATAACTAAATGTTCTAGAATTAGAGGGGACAACTACTCACCTCTAAATGACGGGGTTCACGGAATGATGGTACGAGATGAAAGAACGACGTCTAACGAACGGACGGCTTCTCGCGTAAACCTTCTTCTTTTCTTCTCTTTCCTTCCCCTTTGTCTGCACGCCGAAGCTCCACCTTTTTCCCTGGGCTGCTATGGCCGAAATCCACAACAAGGAGAAGAGGGAGATGGAGAGTGAATGTGTGTGTTGAATGAGATGGGGGTTACAAAAGATGAAGAACATGAATCGAGAAGGGGGTGTTTATTAAAGGGGAAATGAATGGAATTGAAGAGGGAGTTAAATGAAAATGATGATGGTGAGTTGTGGGTGGCGTGGGTTTTGAAGGAATTGAATGGGGAGTTATCTCCCTAAATTCTATTCCGTTATGTAGAATCTGGCCTGAACGGTACGCGCTATTTCCCCCCGAACGGGTCCAAATCGAGAACCGATTGCGTTTTCGAAAATAAACAGTCAAAACTAAATTTATGACATGCTCAAATAATTTTTCTGAGGATTTTATTTTCCCAACTCCGGTCCGAGTTAATAATTAATTAATTAAATTAATCAATTTTATTAGACCGGGTTGTAGGGCTTTACAATTATCCCCCCTTAAAGAAATTTCGTCCCTGAAATTCTCCTCAAGTCACACCTCACGTGTTTAGGGAGATAGTGTGTTACCCAAAATTTGTTTTTGGAACATACAAGAGCATAACGAGTTGAAGAGCAAACGGCAGATTCCATTTAAGGAACTTATTTGGTTCAGACAAGTGGGACAACACGTTGCATCGATTACAACCTCGACTATGCCATAAGTTAGCACGTGACTCACTCGTCTCGTCGGGCTGAGTCCACTGGAGGAATATCCACACCTGTGCCGCAGATACTGTTGGCAGAGTCCACGCTGAACGTTTCCTCCGGATCATCTCTTTCCCATGCTGCCTTCCGGTGCTTCCATATCCTTAGCCTTGCTATCCGAGCCTTGCAATGTGTGTTGGAATGCATGAGTTCAACCCTTTCTGTGTTCTTAAGTATTGACTCACAGGTTTTGATAATTGACAAACACAATTTATTCAAGTTAAGATCAAAGCGCTACAACGACAAACACGAAGACTTGAAGCGCCATTCCTTGAAGTATTCACGAAGATGCACAGGATTTTATTGGAGTCCAAGATGCGTTCGGAGCGCCTAACGGAGGACTCGAAGGAGTAGAAGATTTTCGAAGACTTTTTATTTATTTGAGTCTTAGGAATTATTATAAGGATGACAAAAATATCTTCTCTCCAAAATTATTTTTATGAGAGTTAAAAAAAATTATATTTATTTTTAAAGTCAGTTGAAAAATCCTTTTAACTGTTCAAAATACATTTATTGAGTCAGTTACAAAAAGTGTGTCAAACATTTATCAAAATATTTATTTTGATATTATAAAATATTTTTGGTAAGCAAAAATATTTTATTCAAATATTTTTCCTGTACATCATTTGACACACAAACTAATTTTTGGACTCACTTTTACTCCCTTATTCAAATTCATTGAATAGAGAGAAGGAGCGCCTTCCTGATTCGTGTTACCTCAAACAACGAGTATTCAGCCAATTCTTTATCTATCGCAACTGGCTTGGGCCCTTTGTGTTGCGCATTATTTCTTCCATAATCGATTATCTTCCTTCACTTAATCGATTAATTGCTTATCGCTGGATTTCTCTAGCTTCTAGCTTAATCAATTTTTATTCTTATATTAATCGATTAAGGCTCACAGCGCCACCTAATCGATTTTCATATCCAGATTAATCGATTATTTCCACGTAGAAGGAATCTTTATCAGACTACATTAAACGATTATTGACATTGCATTAATCGATTATTATTCTGCATTTTTCATCAAAACTTCTTTTCTTGGACCAACGGATATATTCCTTCAACCCCTTTATAAACTTCACTCCTTGGTCATTTTTACTATGAACAAGCACTCCTAAAATCCCCCAATCTTGAGGTTATAATCCTCCATTCATTTCTTCTTCAAATTGATATATTTTGAGAGAAAACTAAGTGTTTACAAGAGAGTGTTCTTGTCATCCATAGAGCTTAATCTTTTCTCATTTCTACTCTTGTGAGAGTTATTGCTGAGAGGTTGAAGAAGATTGTTCTTCTTGTTGTTCTAGACTTATGTGACTTAAGTCTTGGTTGTGAAGTCTTGTAGATGGTACATCCACGAGCGGTTGTGTTGAGGCTTGTGAGATTCAAGTTCTCGGTTTGTAAACGGTTTGTCAAGCACCCGTTGAAGCTTGATAAGTAGTGGTAGCTTCGATAGAGTCTCTCGGGGAACTGGACTAGCCACGAGGTGGTGAACCAGTATACATCGGTGTGTTCTTTGCCTTCTCTCTTTTATTTCCGCTGCACTTACGTTTATTTTATTTATTCTGCGAAAATCGGTAATCATTCTCAACAACTCTATTTACCCCCCCCCCTATAGAGTAGCATGCCTTGTCTAACAATTGGTATCGGAGCGGGTATCTCTAACCCTCCTTGTGACGTTTGAGAAAACGATCAAATTTTTTTTGAGAATGTTGAACGCAGGGATAGGAGAAGGGCAATCCACCGTAAGGCCGCCATTTTTTGATGGAACGAATTACTCCTATTGGAAGGAGTGTATGAGAATTTTTGTTCAATCTAATAACTTCAAATTTTGGCTTGCTATCAAGAATGGAGTTAGCTTGCCAATGAAGAAGATAGGCGATACACTCATCCCGAAGGACGAGGATGAATATGATGAAGCCGATCTTAAGAAGGCTCAATTGAATGCCCCCGCCATCAACTTCTTGTATTGTGGTGACAACGCCAACGATTATCAAAAGATATCTCATTGCCAAACCGCCAACCAAATGTGGAACAAGCTCATGATCACATACGAAGGTACGCCTCAAGTTTGTGAATTAAAAATTGATTTACTAACCCATGAATATGAGTTATTTGCTATGAAAGAGAACGAACTTGTGGAGGACATGTTTGGAAGATTTTCAAACATCGTCAACGACCTTGATATGCTTGGAACGCTCACCGACAAAGAGTTAGTGAGAAAGATTCTGCGAAGTCTTACCAAGGAATGGGAGTCGAAGGTTAACTTCATTTACAAAGGCCGAGATTACAACGTCATCACATACGACGGTCTTCAAGGTAACCTTATCACTTACGAAACAAATCATCTTTCTCATACTCTTGACGTTAAGAAGAGAACAAGAATTGCTTTTATAGCATCTTCTTCTCAAAAAGTAGAGATTGGTGATTCGGATGCGGATAGTGATAGTGATAGTGATTCTAGCACTTCTTGTGATATTTTGGTTGAGTGTTTTAATGAGTTTTTGAAACATGAGCTAAACAAGAGCAAGAAGAAAAACACCCCAAAATGTCACAAGTGCGGAAAGCTTGGCCACCGAAAATTTGAGTGCCTGAAGCTCAAGAAGATGAGCAAACAAGATGAATTCACGTGTTTGTCGTGGAAGTATGAGGAACCTTCCAAAGACGATTGCCTCATCGCTCTTGAAGAACAAGATGGGTGGTCGGGTACGTGACGCACATGGAAGGTGTGCTTGAAGAATACAAATTTGTAGTGGATGCTCCAAGCACTTAGCCAAAGAGGTTGCATCAAAGGGGAGTCATTACATTTTTTTAAATAAATTTATATGAATTTATTTGGGAATTTATATAGGATGTTTTGCATATAGTAAGGGGGAATTTTTTGCTATATGTTTTAATCTTTCTGTATGCTTTATTTTTTAAGGGGAGATAACATAATTTAAGAGGGAAGTATTTTATTTCCTAGAAATGCATGATTTTAGGGGGAATGTGATTTTTCTTAACGGTTTAGAACTTTTCTTTCTCTCCCTGCAATGCATGAGTTCTTTTGTTGCGTTATTTTTTATAATGCCAAAAGGGGGAAGAGTATAGGAGTATATGCTTTAATTTTTTATTTTTTGCTTTAATTTTATCACATCCACGACTCTCGCATCCTTATGCTCCAGGAAAGGTATAAGAATTTACTTGGTAAATATTGACTGTGTTAAATTCTCATTTGATAACAATTGTTAGTACTGAAATTGTATCGAGCATAGACTCAAGTCGAATTTTTGTATTCAGTGAAGAAACAAAAGAATAAAAAAAATGTATAAACCTCTGATACGTTATCAACGTACGCATCGCATCGTGAATGACGAAGTTGATCTGTACCGGAAAAGTCGCACGGAAGTGAGATGAACCTGAAGAACGATTCGTGTTGATATATGTTGAACAACATTTGTGAAGCCGGTGTCAAAGATCCTCCCTCATGTGGCCTCAACGCGAACCAATCGTTGACGCAAACGAAAACGTTTAGAATTAATAAACCCTATCGTTTCTTCCAATCTCTCTTGATTGTTTTCAATCGTCGCAACTGTTATATACCCTCGTGATATCTGTTATCAACGCACCTACGTAAATAAGGAATCCTAATAAAGAAATTCCTACTATTTGTAGAATGAGTCAAGAAACTATGCGCGGACAAGATAACCAAGTGCAAAACAATGGACACACAACGGTTCATATTGAAATATCGAATTTCACTCTTGTTGTCCGAAAAGAACCAGACAATCAAAACATCTACCAAGATATTGAAGGTCACTCCAATGCTTATTCAAGTATCAAACCCGATATTAAGGGAAAGAAGCCTTTGACTGGAACTTGTAGTGCCCCACCCTCGAAAAGAAGAAAACTTTTGTCAACTCAAAACAAATTAAGAGTGTGGAAACATCCAAAGTGTAACACTTGTAGAAGACATCACCCAGGAGAATGTTGGATGACACAAGGATTATGTATAGGTTGTGGTAAATCTGGGCATTTCCGAAAGGAATGTCCTACAAACCCTTGGAAGACCAATGCCGATGGCCCTGTTCAAAATCAGTCTACCTCAGCCCGACTTGCACCAGGAGGAAGTAACCCGCAAACAAAATCATGCATGCGTGTATGCAGTGAAAGACCGCGTTGAAGAAAACTCTGGTGTCGTCATTAATATATTTCCTTATTTGATAATTTATAAAATTATCCATGTACTGATCCGGGATTTGCACTATCTAATATCTATGTAATTCCATGTTGAATAAACCTCCGTTGAGATTGAAAACTCAAGGAATCCTTAATAAATAATCATTTGATCAAGTGTTTTCTCTTTGAATACCTACTTTGTTCATACGCGAATACAGAAGGATCGACGAGACTCTGTATGAACTATCGTCAATTAAACAAATCCTTATCTTTTACTTTGTATCATGACTTATTTGATCATCTTAGAGGATCCATTGTGTTCTCTAAGATTGACTTACGGTTAGGATACTAACTATTCTCTGTTAGAAAACTTGAACAAACTGACGATCAAGAATCGCTACTCCTTACATTGAAATGGACTCATTTGTATTAGCTATTAACATGAAAGATCACGACGTGGCACACCAACAGTGAAAGACTGAAGAATGAAGAAAATGTAGCTCGCACTAGCCATACAGCCTAGGAGAATATTTATGGATAATATCATTGCAACACAAGATACAACTTGGATTACAAGAGGAATGTTACAGATGCAATTCTAAGTCTAGTCTTCCAGGATTCACAAACTCATCGTAACTAGCCTGAGGACCCGGGAAAGCTTTAGCAAACTTTAGTTTGTCTAAAAGCTCATCAACAAAGAAAGAAGAAATGAAAAGTTTCCTCTGACTCAAAGACATGAAGTTCTGCCTCACCGCATCGTCTAGAAATTTGATTAGGTTATTGAAATAACCATCAATGTTCAAGAGACCAATGGGTCTATTGTGTAACCCTTCAGAAGCCCACGAGATCAAGGTGAACAAACCTTCCATAGTGTCAACTCCTCGAGGAAGAATGATGAAAACTTCCATGACATGATTCATCTCAAAATATTTGTAATAGTTGCTGGAAACTATATGCTCTACACCGCACGTACGTCCATAGACATGTCGTGTTGCTATGTACCCAGGAATGAAACCTCTAACGAGACCACCATTGGTAAAGACTGTTGAAGCAACAGCTCCTTGAAGGCCAACACTACCTCCACCATAGGCAAGTTTAATCTTTTGCC